CTTGCCGATCTTATTCGACAACCGCTCGATCTCGTGCGAGAGCTGGAGGTCTCCGGGGCCGGCGAGCTGGAACGAGCCGTGCTCCTTCTCCACGTCTTCCTCTTCCGCCAGTCTGTGCTCCTCTTCTTCGTCGGGGTCGTCACCAAACATCATGCGTCGCTTGCCCTCTCTGGGAAGCTGTGTGCTTTGGGACATGGCGGTAGAGCCCTGCATGCTGAGGCTATCGGATGAGCTATCGTGGCGGGGCTCTTCGTGCTGTTTGTCAAGAGCGATTATGTCCGTGAGGGCAGCCTGAATGGCTTCCATCCGTTGTGACTGTTCTTGCTGTTCCGCATCCTCTGGATCGTCAAAGAGAGGCGCACGCGCGGCCGAAGCAGAGGGGCTATCGTGCACTGGAGACATGAGCACCTGTAGGTTGGAGACCGCCGGTCTAGGGGCAGGGGCTGGAGCTCCGGCCGGAGGATTGGGTGAGGGTGTTTGGCGGGGAGAAGGACCACCGGGCGAAGGAGACGACTCTGACCGGAGCAACACCGGCTTGCCTGAAGTGAGGAGAGGATGGCTACCGCCTCGCGTGGGCTTGGACACTGGGGACACCTCGGACGGATGTCGAGTAGATGTTGGTGACCGATGGCCACCGGAGAAGGACTGGTCTTCCTCAGGGGCCTTCCCTCCGTTCGCCTGGATATCGGCTATCGCCCGGAACCACAGTTCTGAGCGTTGGAATTCCTCGAAGTCGTGCTCCATCTCGCGCTCAACTTGCCGTTGCGCTAACATGACGCTTCTCCGCACACGACGCTCGGATGCTGGAGTGGAGGTCTCTGCACTCTGCCCAAATGACCGTATAGTGTTGATGTGTTTCTGCGAGACTGCGCTGAGGACGGGATCCGGGATCGGACTTGAGAAGTACAGCTCGTTGATGAGCGAGATATCCTCCTTCAGAGTGGCAGACTGTGCAGAGTCAAGCAACGGTTCGTCTTCTTCGTCCGAGCTGCCGGAGTCCACAGACTCCAAAGGGTTCTTGAAGCTCTCGACAGTGAGCCAGAACTGCACTAGGAGTGAGCGTTGCCGTCTGTCCATGAACTCCATGAAGTACGAGAGTGAGCTGGGGTTCGTGAGAACGTCTCTTAGCGTGAGGGGCGACGTTGTTGGAGTATCTTGGAGAATAGTCTGTCGCTACAACGAGCATGAGAAGTCGTCGTAGGTCAAGACGGTATATACGTACCGGGTCGGCTTCGCCACCGAGGACGACAATGCGCTTCTCCACTTTGCGCTTCGCGGTGTACAGACGATCGAGGAAAGCGACGATGTCCTCCGTCTTCTCTCCGTTGATCCAGTCCGAGTTAGCGTTGTTAGCTACAACAACGGGCTAAGTTCTCTCCTCGGAAGCATGTTGTAACGACAGGTACACTTACCCAGTAGAGTCCGTGTACGCCGGATTTCTCCCATGATGTCGTTTCTCAGTCTGCGTGCGTCCAACAAGGAAGAACATCGACTGATACTACGGAGGAAGGACTCGAACTGCTTCGCGTCGGTCCGAATGGTGATAGTCTCGGTCGTCGAAGTCGGTGTGTGGCCCGGACCAGCATTGGGTCGTGGTAGCTGAGCCTCAAGAATATGTCGGACCTTGGAGATCAGTCGTCTACATGCCGTCGTGTTTAGTACCCGTTGGTAAACGTATGTTAGGTCTGAACGCACTGTTGGCGGATAGCAGCCCCTGCCTAGGACACGTCAGACAGCGTGATATGGTGAACTCGCTGTTACTCACGACTTGGTCTATAGTGCGGTTCCAAAAGTCGGGGTCTGAAAGCATATCCATTACGGGGTACAGAACAGAACAAGCGACTATTTCTCTGACGACTATTTTGACAGTGCGACTGCGAGCCTCCTTCTCCGGCAGTATGTGAGGTAGAGCTTTGTCCACCAACTCGCGAAGGTGATTCTCTTCCGACTGTTTAGTGAACGTGGAAGAGAGGTTGTCTACGGCTGGGTGAAGCTTCCCACCACCTCGGGCGGCATAACGGCTAGCAAGAAGAAGATCGAGTTCCTCGGACTGTGTCAATTTGCGCTCAAGACCGGCACCCCGGAGCGCGACTTCGGATTGACGGAATTGCTCGATGTGTGCAGTCACTTTGGGCAGAATGCGTTTGACGACGAGGGCCGAAAGATCCAGGTCCGTGGCTCTTTCGAGGAGGCGTTCCATGGACGCGTGGAGAGTGGACGAGACCGCGGTGGGGAAGGATGGAGAAGACGATATCTCCTTATACCAAACCAGTACAAAGTCGCGTACAATCAGAATGAGAATGTCGTTGATCGCCGCGGAAACCACAGGAGCGTCTGCGCAGAGCGGAGGGAGGGACTGGGGTGCTTTATAGGACCATTGAGAGCGCGTTAGGACGGCTTGCCAGGCCGCCGGGGTAGAGAAGGCTAACGGTCTCGCAGCCGTGGTAAGTGCGTTCCGGGGAGCAGGCCGCATAGAGTCGAGGACATATCCGAGCACGACGTTCAGGGCGAAGAACCCAATCACGACTGAGAGGACGAACAACGGCAAGAGGAGAGCCAAGGTCACCGGAGAGGACAGTACTCGTTTGAGCAGAGGAAGGCCGACCCCAGCGGCCAAGAAAGCGAGGATTGCATGCCTGCCGATAGGCGGCATGTGCGAGAGGACCGTTCGTCGTCACTCAGTGTGTCGAGCAGGTGATGGTCCGCAACATCGAGCGTTGCTTCCGAGTCGGCGTGCAAAGCCAGGACCCGCGACATCAATGGACTGTCCGAGGTCCTTACAATAGCCGGGGTAGGCGCCTAATCGTTCTCACCGCTACCGGCATGAGGCCACTGGCCAGTGCACGGTCGGCCGTACAGTCGTGTACGCTGCACCAAAATAGAGGTTGTATGTATGTCTGGTATGCGATAACCGCTGGCGCGAATTGGTAGATCGAAGGGAGCGCGCCAGCCCATCATTGATAGTACTACTATTGCAGTAGTAGACAGCGCATCCTGAGCCGCCCTTCGTATACTCACATGTCGTCTCGGATGTACTCCAAGCATAAACATTGCTTGGACGCGCCCCGCAGGCATCTGCGTGGGGATATGCGATCCTGTCGGTCGACCGTTGGCCTCTCGCGCCATCGTCATAACATAATCGCTCTACCCCGCGCTCGACGCGCCGCGCGCCGGACACAGCGCTCGCATGACTCGCGCCCGCCAGCCACCCACTTCAATTCGCTCCCCCCATCTTCGCCCGCCTCTCCGTCCCCACCGCCCGGCATGGCCTCTCCAGTACCCGGCACTCGCCCACTGTCAACGACCGAAGGCTTCATATGCGGCGGAATGGCCGCGTGCGTAGCCGTAAGTCCCGGAGGCGCCCCTGGACGCGACGTACCGTAACGCCAACTATCCGCCGGACGTAGGTGACCGTGTCCAATCCAGCGGAGGTGGCCAAGACGCGCATGCAACTGCAAGGGGAGCTGGCAAAGAAGGGTGTAGCGAAGGTCTACAAGAACGCGTTGGATGTCATCGCCAAGACGTGGAGGAACGAAGGTATTCGGGGTATCCAGAGAGGCTTGGGTCCCGCGGTGAGTGCCCTGCCTGCATCAAGGCAAGCAGCGTCCTTATACCCTCTTGTCTGCACAGTATGTTTACCAAGTGAGTCGCTCCGCGCGCTTCTGTGGTACGGAGTTCTTACGGTTCCCCAGATTCTGATGAATGGGTCTCGACTGGGTACGTCATACCTACCACGCTCAATCGCTCGCCTAATCGAGTCGTCCAGGTTTCTACGAACCCATCCGAAGACAATGTAACAAGCTCATTGGCGCGAATCCTACGGACCAGATACCTCTCACCTCCGTCTTCTCCGGAGCCGCGAGCGGGATCATCGGAGGTCGTACCATCGTCTCTCATGCACTCGGACGCTTGCTGAATGTTTCGCTATAGCAAGTCTCGGGAACCCGTTCTTCCTCATCAAGGCGCGGATGCAGGTAAGGCTGCTTGGCCACGTATGCCGCAGTGCTATACTCAGGTGTTTCACGCAGGCCTATTCTCCCGTGCTACCAGTCGGTGCCCAGCATTACTATAAGAACTCCTTCGATGCACTCAGGAATATTTGGCACGCGGAGAAGCTACGCGGTCTCGTAAGAGGCATTGACGCGGCGGCATTGCGAACAGCTATGGGTTCATCTGTGAGAACCGACCACTTGCTACGCTCGCCCGGACCAAACTGAATAGCTATCCCGCGCTTAGGTTCAGCTACCTACGTACAACTGGACAAAGAACCAGCTAGTCAGCCGCGGTATTTCACGCGCGGACAGCATCTGGACGTTCCTGGCGAGCAGTTCCGTGTCCGGACTCTGCGTGGTATGTCGCTGAAGTTCCCAACTATCACCCCGCTGACCCATCCTCCGCAGTTGACCATGATGCAGCCCACCGATACCGTACTGACCCGCATGTATAATCAACCTACGATACGCACTCCAGACGGCAGACACGTCGGGACGCTTTACAAGAACCCTATAGACTGCCTGTGGAAGACGCTCAAGGCCGAGGGCCCCCTGGGCTGGTATAAGGGTATGTACGCCCGTCACATGCGGCTGACTTCGCGGCTGACGCAAGGGCCTTCAGGCTCGACGGCGCACTTCCTCCGCATAGTACCACATACGTGAGTATCCAACGGACAAGACTTGTCCATGGACTAACCTTCGCTTCTCCAGCATCGTCACCCTCACTGCCAACGACATCATCGTTGGGCTCTACAAACGTATTCGGGACGGACACGCATAATACATTTACACTTTGCCTGGAGTAATGCCGCTTTCTCTTGATCTCGCCTCAATCGCTGCCGCCCCGAGCCGTGGATCCGATATAATCGTGTCAGCATCCGAGGCTTTGCATCCCCTCGTTGAGACCAACTATCTTTACGCCGTCATACATGTACGTACGACGATTAATAGGGCGCCAGGAGACTTCAAGCAACGGGTGCGAGACCGCGCACAAATTGAGCAAAAAGATGAACCCTGCCCGGATCGAACGGACGACCTTGAGGATTTCCCTGAGGTGGGCAGCTACTCCACCGTCTGGAATCTCACGCGCTACCACTGTGCCAAGGGTTCTTTCATGAACAGTCTTAATGCCTTAATAGATTCACATCAGTTTTTACCGTCGATGGAAAGTCTTTCTCATGTCTTCTGGTTTTTGCTCTCTTTACCGACTTAGGAAACCTGCTATTACTACTACGCGAGGATGTTTATCTCATATTGCCTGCAAACACACCCTAGTGATCCTCCGGAATCGCACCTCTGGGCAGGGAGGTATGGCAACGGCAGTCGACCTAATAACAACATCGACCGGCCGTGCGGTCAGCCAGCCAGTTCTTGCAGAACAGTCGACTAATGCCGAAGTCGCACCACAAACACCGCAGATGCGGGCAGCGTCGCCCCCGTCGCTAGATCGAATGGCGTTGGCTACTTTGCTTGTGCAGCATTTTTCCAAGTAAGCCCTCTCGCTGCTCTCGGCATGCCGCGACCCGTTGAGATCAACGCAAACACCGGTATTTCTACAGCTCCTGGGGCCAACGGACGGCAGAGTTCGCCGTATACATATTCTTGGTCGCCCTGTTCCCGGACACCCTCCTCCCTGCGTCGATATACGGCTTTGCTACCACGGGGTCTGCTACTCTCCTCTCTGGCTGGGCAGGGAGGCTCGTGGACAAACACCATAACCTGCGCATCGTGCGCGCGAGCATCATCGCAGCGAAGTTGGCAGCGTCCATGATGTACGCGGGAAGCCTGGTGCTCCTATACCGCCTCTTCCCTTTGACAGACACTGCTAGGCCCTGGTCCACTCCGCTTGCGTCTGGGATGTTCGCGGTCATCGTTATGGGGGGCTGTGCGCACAATCTTGCTGGGGTCACGATATCTGTAGCAGTGGAACGAGACTGGGTCACCACCATCGCGGCGAGCTCTCCGGAGCATCTCACCACGCTGAACACCTACATGCGGCGCATAGACCTTCTGTGCAAGCTTATCGCCCCCCTGTTTGTCTCCCTGTTGACAACTGCGGCCTCTTATCGCTTCGCAGCGATCTTCCTCTGCGTGGTGGAGGCCGTCTGCTTGTTCTTCGAGCTGATATGTATGTGCTTCTGTAAATGTTAGAAATACACCGTACTGAATGACTTACACAGGGACCGAGATCTCATATCGGCGATTCCCCGCGTTGCACGAAGCGCAGGCGGCCAAGGAAACGGCTCAGCGGGTGCGCTCGCGCGATGAAGACCACCGCGAACCACAGTCCGTGCCATTCTGGTCCGGCGTTCAGCAGCAAACGACCCGTAAGCTCAAGGAGGCGCTGCACGACTGGCACGACTTTGCACAGCATCCTGTCTTCCTGTCGTCCGTCGCGATCTCCAGCCTCTATCTGACGGTTCTCAGCTTCGACGGCACAATGTTGAGCTACTTGAAAGCGCACACATATAGTGATTCGTTCCTCGCCGGGATCCGCGGGCTGAATGTGGTTGCCGGTCTTCTCGGGACGATGGCCATGCCCTTCCTTGAGAGGAGGTTGGGCCTTGTGAGAGCTGGGAACTGGAGCATCTGGTGATTCGAGTCCGCGCTCTGAACATATTGAATGTTAGGCTGATGATGATGCAGGTCGGAGGTGTTGTGCCTCCTACCGGTGCTCATCGCTCTATACGTGTGCGCGCCCGCTGACGGTTCCCGTGCCCCCGCGTGGAATGCCGTCCTTCTCTTCGGAGGTCATATTTTTCAACTGTTGAATCCCTTCGTGGCTCTGACGCCCCCGCGACAGGGATGATGCTATCGAGAATCGGCCTCTGGGCCTTTGACCTGTGTCAGCTCAAGGAACTACAGCTCGCCCTAGCATCCCATCCGCGGAGAAACACCTTGTAAGTCTCGAATCCCCTCCCGCGTATACAGACCCACTAGACCACGTCTACCAGAACGGCACTCCAATTCTCCCTGCAAAATATAGCCGACATGCTCAAGGTGCGGTGTTGTTCGCCGATTCGCACGTGGTGATACCAACCGTAACATTGCAGTACATACTCACGATGATCCTGAGCCGGCCGTCGCAGTTCAAGTATGCCGCCCTCGCATCGTTCATCAGCGTATGCGCGGGCGCGTCGACGTACCTGCTTTACGTCAAGAAGGAGCGCGGCCACGTCCTGCACCACTCCCTCAGCGACGTCATCCCCCTTCTCAGGAGGAACACGTCGTGACCAGCTGGACCCTCACTCACACTTGCTCTGTTGGAATAAGGCTGTGTAGGAATAGTAACACGGGAACGCTGCCCACGAGGGCGGGAGAGATCTGAACAACAGTACATTATATCAACGTAAAGATGGTCGTGCTGGAAAGGATCGAATAGGTATGCAAAGGGTATGTACTCGAAGTGGAACAGTCTAAATATCCATCCTCCATCCGGTCGAAAGCTACATATCATCACGGCTCGTGAAGCGCAGAAGCGCGGGTGCGTGGTGTCAGGTCTTAGCCTACACGCGGGACATGCCTGCCCCCTTTTGGTCCGCGGACAACTGCTCCGACGACGCGTTGTCTTGGATGTCCTCCGCGGCGTAGTCAGTTGTCTTGTCTACGGTGATGTGCACCCTGGTCTGGATGCCGAGGTCGAGCTGACCGGCGCCCTGTATGATAACTAGCATCGGAAGCCGTTCGTAGAATCATGGAATGGGTTTGACTGACAGAACGCTCTCCCAGGCCGCGTTGCGTAGGGAAGATGACTGGTAGACGATGCCCACTTCCGGATTGCGACTGGGCTGACTGAGCCATGAGGCTCTTCCGAGCATTCATGCTGAGACAACATGTAGTGAGTTCTCTAATTCGATCGCCCGTGCCGAGAACATATGCTTACGATGCGAGGAAGGAGTTGGCGTAAACTGTGCAACGCGAGTCAGCAAGAGAACGAGGTTATCTATCGACAAATAAACTTACGCTTGCTGATAGCAAAGTGGAGTCCCAAATAAATGAGCTCGTCTGGCTTGACGAGCCACTTCAACGATCGTCAGTCGTCAGGGACTGTGCCGTGTCATTAGAGCACTCACGAAAATAAGCGAAATGAGCGTGGTCACGCTGCAGAGGGTGAGTTCGACGCTGCGCTCGTGGAACGGGGTTTCACGTACGATGTTAGCAGACCGTTCTCAACGGTATACAGCGTCACCGCATTGAGGATGTGGTCGAACCTGCGGCACGGCTCATTGTGATGACGAGCACTGGCGTATGGCGACGAGAGCTTACCTGCCAGTACCGCCGCGGTGTCTCCGTAGGTAGAAGCACAGACCTAGGGTGATCAGTCCGTCCACGACTGAGGAAAGCACGAGCCCGAGGGTGAAAACCCACTACATCCACAGGTCAGTCGTGAGCTTCGAGTACCTACGGTTGATGTAGTGCACTCACTCGGAACCGTACTCCGAACTCGTAGAAGCTCTTCAGTCGGATGCTGGTGGACAGTTAGAAGTCGAGTCAGTTGACGATCGGTATAGCTTATACACTCACAGCTCGACAGCGGTGACTGCCCGCCCACATTGTTAGCGGCTGAAATTAGGACTCCAGTAGTGTATAACGTTCACTCACCGAAAGCAGCAACTGGTATTGCGAGGGGGCGTCATTCTCTCGGTAAGCGGATAACTCTCACGTTGCCGGGGACCCCACTCACCGACTCGTGCGAGGGCAAGGACAGCCTACCGCAATGGACTGCATTAGTTTACGGGCGGCGTCTAGAGTATGCCCACTCACGATTGGCACGGTGATCCAATAATTGCCCTTGCTCACTATGACGGAGGTCAGTTGGGTAGCCCGCGTGTTATGAACCGGATGCACTGACACTTGAACAGGCGCATGGAGAAAAACCTGCACCGCGGTCAGCTTCCGGAGATAGTCGAATATGACGATGACACTCACAAGTGTACACACACGGTGATCACCGCCTGCGCTGCGTTAGTCCCAGGCACACACCTCGAAGGAGAATAGTATACTTACGGTCAAAGCTATCGACACCTATTGAAGCACGGTCAATGCCGTATAAGTGAGGAATCATATCGGGATCGGAACTTACTCCAACCGTCCTAAGGCGCATATCAATGAGCGTACACGTCCAATCACGGTGAGCTTGAGCACTAACCAGAAGACATAGTCCGTTACATCCTCTTGCCCGAAGTGGCTGACAAAGTACATATAATTTGCGGCCGCGATCATCGCCGAATGCAGCAAGTCAAGGAAGCTAATGACACCTATGAGAACACATCGCAAACCAATGCTCCGGAATGAACCGTACAAGACGATGGCAACCTGCTCGAAGGTTGAGCTAATCCATTTTCCGTGCACATCGACGCAATCGTACCTTGACCTTCGTTGACGTCAGGTCCCTGGTGAACAAGCGGAAGTACAGTACAGTCTGCATCCCGACGATTCCGGAGAGCCTGGAAAGTAAACGGCTAAAGTCAACAGTGTTCCGGCAGGCCCCTTCCGAGACGGACATACCCCGTGCAGACCATCCCTCCGAGGAGGATGGCCCCCAGGCTCGTCTTGAGGTTCGTTTCGGACAGGAGTACCATCGCTAGCAGCTTTCGACCGGTTCGATGTCCAGCATGCAGAGACGGCGACGAGGACCGAAGAGGGGAGGGAAAGGAGGGGCGGGCGGATGCCGCTGCTAAAGGCTATTTCAAGCGAGCCAGAAGTACGGGACTGCGCCGTGCGGCAGCCGACACTGTCGAGGCCACCTCCGCGCACATCTTGGAAACTAAACTTGAACCGGCTACGCGAGGCTCTCCTTCCCCACATTCTGGAGCTCATCGCCGCCGCGAGATGCGCTCGGTGGGGTGCCGAGGGAAACGGGGCCAACGAAGGAGATGTTGAGCGGAAATGGCCAATCAGGAGGCGCCGTCCCGTTCGCAAATCTTGCGGAACGGGCACCCACAAAACATGGCGACCGGGTGAACCCCTGTGACGGCTGCTTCGTGCTTCGGACTTCGATCGACATGGCCACGACTCCCCGATCGAACGAACGAGGCACTAAGGCTATACGAGGAGAGTTGGTGAGAGTTCTCGTGCGGGTTGTTCTAGTGTGACACCAAGTTAAGTCG